AATCATTAGTACATATACTTAAATGTTTAAATGTAAACTTGTAGTGATTTTATATGTATGCATGCACAACTGAGGATATAATAAAGTAAATATCGTAAAATTATTTTGAAATATTACAAAAACTATTGAATCGTAGAAATATGTTCCTGTGTAGATAAACAAAATCACAAAATATGAAAATTGATTTCCATGGTTCAAAAATGACTAAAACTGTAATAGTTAACAATAATAATATGCGCTCGGTTTATACTTTACACGAACGAAGACTGTTTGTGTCGAATTGTTCTGTGTGGTATGAAAATGGTTTTTATAGTAATTATTTTTTGTGATTTTTTTTAATTTTCGTCGTATAATTTAAATTTCAAAAAGTTATACAGCGATATGAAAAAAAAAAAAAACAAAAAAAAACCAAATAAACTATATGCTGTATAATTTAAAGTTAAAATTAAAATAGCATCTCGGCTTTTGTTTGTTTTCCATTAGGTACCTATATTATCAATTAATTAAAATAATTTATATTCGCTGCAGTTATTTCTGTATAAGCGAAGCCATTTTTCAACGTATATAGTCTGTATAATCTTACCCTATAGTCCGTTCAATAAAAACGATTTATATGAATTATTTATCATAAATTAATAAAAATAAATTGTAAAAACTTGTTTTTGAAAACTGCGACGGTAAGTTAATCAGCATTTTCCGACACACGGGTTCCCAAAACTAGACCATGTATGGAAGTAATAGTCACGTGTATAATATTTAAATGAAAATTGGTTCGTAAAAAAAAATAATATTTTTAATAAACAATTTTGAATATAATTAAAATATAGACATATGACAAAAATGGGTAAAATCATAATGTTAATAGTGAGATAGGTACCGCTCACGGATAGGACACTGTTGTAGGTGTGGAGTTGGAAATATGTGATCTACACATAGGCACAAATAGCCCAAATATCTGTAGGGTGAGAGCTTAATACTCCAGGATATTGATTAATATTGATTGTGTATAATAATAATAGTATATTTCAATAATAACATATTTACAATTCGTATCTTAATAACTTATGAATAAATATTTCAGCACCCCCTATCAGCAAAGCTTGTGATGAGAGAATGCTATATACCTATATAATATGAACTATATAATACTTTAGTATTTATTTGGTACGGACTTGATTTTAGGGGCTTGGCATCAAGTGTAGCATCCTTGCTGAAATTAGTTGTTGATAAGACGTTAGAATTTTTAGGGTAAAATTACCCTATACTAAACAAATAAACAAAATAGTTTATAGGCAGAGTGATCCATTTAAATGACTACACTTAACACTTCGAAAAGTATTGACTTTTTCCAAAAAACGCAGCTCTAGAATGTAACATTACATGTTATTCTTTAACCCTTATTTTTGGAATTAAAATAAATACCTGCATTTGGTTTTCAAATAGTAACCAATATTAAAATTGTATAAATAGACGAAGTATTAGTTCAAATAAATTTTAGTGTTAACATTCTTGATTTCCATCAACGTATTGATGAGATACCACTCTAAGGTTTGGGTAGAGGAGAGTAGTGGAAAATTATTTATGTGGCGACACGGCATATGATGTTTTAATAGTGCTCCACTACACTCCCCCTACCCAAAATTAAATGAATATAAAAACTATTTTGTTGTATAACGATATAAATTAAATAACTTTATGTATCTTTCCTTCCCAACTGTCCATTTAAAACAATAGACGCACAAATCGGGAATATCAGTTCTTTTCTGTTTTTTGTTAATTTCTGGGTCACCTTGGCAACAATAAGGGAAAAAACACAAAGCTGTCCTTTAGTATGCAGTTTACCTTGATAGTATAATCTACCAAAAAAAATTAATAATAATGAAATATTTATATCAAAAGCGTATCTGGGATCCAGGGGACAATTCATTTTTGCACATGTAGTCCAATATTCCTCTATAATATATAGACTCTTGTCTAATATGTACCACAAAATATTTCAGCCTGATGATCTTAGATTGGTATTTTGTTTTCTACATAACTCCCCATGAACTAAGGTATACCTACCTTATAACTAAGGTAATACATATTTTAGGATACATTTCAAACTATTAACTCTTTCGGTGTACTCACGCGTATACATATTTTCAACGAACTTCATTCAAATTTTTTTTTCATTTGCAACGATATTACGAAACTAACTACGACACGAACTTTGAAGGGACACAATTTCCTCCATTCCCTCCCCTTAAATACGTCATTAATAAAAATTATAGAACGGTTTAAAATTACATACAACAAGAATTACAAATTCCATACTAGCATGACTAATAAAAAAAATTCAAAAAGAAATTTTATTAAATAGCCCAGTTTAGTGATTTGTAAAAATCAAACAAATATATTGATAAACATGTTGATTTATAAGTTATTGACGGAGTGGCCCCGTGGTGGTGCATGATTACATGCATATTTTTTTATACAAACGAAATTACAATTAAAAACTCTATAATACATACATTCTGATAATTAGGAATTTATAGGAGACCGAATTAGAAAAACTACGATGGAGAGTTTAAAAATTGAACATTTAAAATACATATTTTACATATTTCATTAATTTTAGAGAAAAAGTGTATATTTCGTCGATTTTCATTGATTTTCGCACATTTTTATGCGTATTTAATATTTTCTAAAAATGTTGATTTTTTTTTCATTTTTAACCAATTTATTTTAAATAATATTAAATTTGAAACTCAATATTTTTTAACGTGGTTATTTTTTATTATTTAAATGTGGCAATTCGCATTCAATTTTTATTTTAGTTTTGCACATTAATAATAACATAATATGTTTTTTGAATAATAAAATGAATAATTGTTTACATATTTAATATTTTTTCTTGGATATTTTTTTTGTGCATATTTATTTATTTATTTATTATTTGCTTTTATCTCCTATACCTCCCGTGCCTTAATGATGATGTTACACCGGTAAGTTAGATTTTTTTAAATTTTTTCTGCGCAGAACGGGAGATTCATTGGAATTTTACTACGTGTGTAAATATTAACTTATTGTCTGTAAACGACTTGTCTATAAGAAATCTTGCTACAATCTAAAAATGACAAAACACGTTATTTGATGTATTTCGAATCTAGCCATTTTTTGATTTTCAAGAATTTTTCATAATAATTGAGAAAAACTAGAAAATCCGTAAAAAAAACGGACAAATTTACGGCAATAAAAGTTTTATTATTTTCGATTTGTTCGTTTTTGTATTTCTAAAACAGAAAATATTGCTCCGATTTTCAAGTGTAGCATATTTTCTGAAATTTCAACTGATTAGTGCAATATTAGACATTGTCTTTTAAGTTATTGTGTAGTTTTCTTAATCGACAAATCTGGGAAACGAAAAGAAAATGGAAAGTTTACAGAATTCAGAGTTTCATTTAGTTTTTTTTTTATCGTGGTTCAGTTTAAAATAATCTTAGGAATCTGAAATTTCTACAGAATACTATATTAGACTTTTTAGATGTTATTTAATTTATTTTTTAGGCATTCGATATTTTCAAGTTCATTTTTGTTTTTATTTAAGTTTTCTGAATAAAATTGTTTAATCCAATAAAAATGTTTGAAAATTTAATCAAAGTTTCAACTATATTGCACTTAGTGGTAAAAAAAAAAAAAACTGAGGGTAATATTCTATTTTTATAAGAGTTTTAATTTTAAATTTTAACGAAAATCGTAACAATTAAGGCATTCTATAATATATTTAATCGAACTAAAATCTTATTTTGTTAGCAACGAATTAACGTAGCTTAGATAATTTGATGTTCCTACCTTCCCAACTTCTCACCTACAACAGAAGCACACTCATCAGCAATATCGGATCTTTTAATATTTTAAAATTATAAACAGTTTTATATTTTGAGTTATACATTAAATATCGATCTACGATAACGAGTGAAAAATTTAGCGTAGACGCTATAATCAAGCCTTTAAGGTCTTAAATGTTTCGAAATGTCTCGATTTTATAAACAAGTTAAAACGAAAATTTTTTTTTCATCAAATGTAAGTTCCCGATTTACAGCGTACCACACGCGTATCTACTGTCCCAGACTTAGATAATAAAGAGCGACACAGTGCTAATAATTGCGTTATTTAGTATGTTAATCTTGATGTTACGGTTGAAATCAGAGTTTAAGCACAAAATATATCATCCTCAAACCAGTCGAACCAGAGGTACTATGGAATACCGTCTGGTGTCAGTGTGGTAAAGATATAATATTATGTTATTTAATTACAATTATTACACACGACGACCTGCTGCACGTTCTCCCGAACGAAATAACGCCGAGAACGCGCGTAAATCTCGGAGAAAAAAATAATCGAACGCCTTGACCTGGACGCGCCGGTTTTTATTCGAGTTTGCGGGCTGCTGTACGCAGTCGCGGCGATCTCGGCCGGCAAACGATTCGAATCGGTCGCGGGTGATAGAAAGTCCAAACAATTTTGTGTATCGAACATAACAATATCGCGTTAAATCCGAGAAAAAACCGAATGACGAACGACGTAATTGCCGAATCAAAGTCCGGAAAACCTTCTCCGTGTCTTTCTTGGTTACAGTGATATATTTTCAAGTCGAAAATTAACGGAAAATTAACTTATTTGCGGATGTACGACAGGTACCCATAATATACATTATATTTTTATTGTTATTATCATTATAATGATAATATTCTGCGCGTGGAGCTCGCTCGGTATCATATTCAGCACAATTACGTGTGCACTATACAAGGCTGCGGAAAAACTCGTGCACACGCACGCAGACGAAAGACACCGCCTTCCGGGACTGTCTCCGATGATGTGTGTGTGATTCTTTTTTTTAAAAAAATTTTAAATATTTTTCATAGTTTTTTTTTCTCGACTATATATAGATCGAGTGGCGGTGCGTTATAATAAGTGCGTGCGTCGTTTTGTGACGTGTGTATGTGTGTTTTGTGTGCATGTGTGCATGTTCGTGTGTGTGTGGAGGACGACAACAAACCGAAAACGACGTGTGCGAGCACCGCGCGCGGCGCTGTATAGGGGGAAGGGGGACGACGACGGCGTTGTGCTAGCGCAATAAAACGGACGTGCGACGGGTCCCGGGTCAATACATAACCGGTGCCCGTGTCGACCGTGTCGAACCCACCGCCGAGAACTTGTTCGACTTCCTTTGACTCTGCCAAAGCAAAACGCACAATATGATCGCCGCCGAAGTTTTAAAAATCGCCGGTTGTCTTGTGTGCGTCATCGCAGGGATCGCATCGGCCGCGCCAGCCGCCGTCAAGCTCCGTGAGTATATCATAATATTAAGTAATGTATATCATATCAATATAATACCGAAAACATTTACGAACAATTACACTTTTTAGCGGTTTGCGTGTTTGCGCGGTGGAGCGAGGGGAAGGGGGAGGGGCTCACGTTTTGTTTCGAAAGTAAAAACATGATACAAAAAACAAAATAAAATACGCCGGCTCATAAGCACCCCGTCGGCTATATTCGCGACCGTTTAAAACCACCGAAAAATCCGTATACTCCGCGGTGTTTTTATCGCGAGTCGTGTACGTACGCGCGTAAACAACACGTGAATATACGAGTGTGTATACAGGGCGGTGTACCTGCGACATTCGAAAATGTCCTAAACGCGACATTACGTAATGACATTATTATCCACAGGGAATTGTCAACGAATCCTGCGGATACACCCTGTATATATTACACGGTGAATGAAGTACGTTATTGGTATAATAATAATAATATAATATACCTGTAGTAATAATAATATTACATTATTACAACGCGCAATATTAGGAGGAATGGTCGATTAAGTAATATTATATAATTACGAAATGTATTTCGAGAGGGCTACACACACACACACATACACGCATACATACACATATACATGCACACGTGTTTCAAGACAGCTTAAAATTTTTATTTTTTTTTTTCCAAGCTATAAAATTTAAAGCATCGGATGAAATCATAATATTAATAATAATAATATTAACATCGCCGGCTATCATTCCGCGAGACGCCGAACAGGGTTCTCTACGGCGCGCACACACACACACACACAAACACGTGCGCACATACACACATACACACGTGTATTATTGCGCCACGAAAACAAGCTCGTGAACCACTATTATCGGGCGCGTGTGTAAAAATGGTAATAGTTTTTTTGTTATGAAATTCGTTTCCAAACGATTTTATGCGAGATTTAAATTTTTTAGTAAGTACATTGGTATTATAATAAACTATAATCAATTTCCCTGAAAAAAAACTCATTGAAAAACCAAAAATAATATGATTCATTTAAAAAAATACAAAAAAACGTTTTTATGCGTTTTAAACGTTCCCTCCCTTCGTAATTACATATCATTCTTTATTCGGTGAGTTCAATATACGGGAAGATATAATATAATATCTTTGGTCCCAGGAAAGAAGGACTCAAGTCAATTTTTCTTTTCGTATATTAATTTGTCACGTGTAATTTTTAGACTTTATTTTTTGGTCTTCATTTACTGGTCTGAGTATTATGTATATTCTAACATATTATGTTACATTGAAATTTAAAATATTTTAAATCACTTTTTGTTTGATCAAAAACCGCATTAGTCATATTTTTAATGTATAGCAATTTAGTCGTTTAACAATTATGTTACTATTATCAAGCAATTAAAGAGCTTAATATAACAACAGAGCAAATCCAAAATGACTTTTTGATAGATTCGAATGAAGTAATAAATGCTACATAATTTGATGCATTGATAAGGAAGTACATCTTCTAGATACGGAGAAAAGAGTGATAAGGACTTGTCTGATTCGATCAAATTCTGAGTTAAGACAAAACAGGGTCCATGTATAGGTGATCTTTTTTTCTCCTGAACAATTTCGAAAAGTGGACTTGTCTTGTTGTAGCAGTGAGCCTGTCAAGTCAGTTATTCCCAACATTTTAATCGCTTTTATTCAAAACTCTACAAAATTTACTTACGTCCTTTTTATCTGAAACCAAAGATTTAATTAAAATAATGATAAGTATTTTTCGTAATATTATTATAAATCCCTGATCCCTCCATGACATGACCGTTGAGGAACTGTGCGTAAGCAATTTCGTAAGCAATATAAATAATATTATGATAAATCGAAATTGAATGATATTTTGATAATAATACGGCTGAAGCGATCGAATGCACGGTATATGTATTTAGATAGTTTGCGAGAGTTTAACGCCCGGTCGCAAAATCGTCCGAAAACTCGATCGTGGATTACTTTGTAATAATAATATATTATTGTGATTATAGCTCATTCTCGCAGAGAAATATCTAATTTGTTTTTTTTTTTTTTTTATGAGATTCTTTAATCAAAGATTCGTTCTTCATTGAAATTATCATTCCCCCTCCCCAAAAACGAATTATACAAACAATGCGGTTTAATTCCCCTTCCGTATCTGCGGAAGAGTTTTTTTTTTTCTTTAATCCGACAATTGAATTATGAATTATGTCATTTTAACGGACCCTCTAAACCGTATATTATATCGACTGTGCCGGTTTTTTTTCTTCCCGATTTATTATTTAAAAAAAAAAAACATTTTCAGTTACCGAAATTAGACGATATATTCCGCTCAGACCTACCCTGCTATTATTGTATTAAAAATTATTTTATAACGCACCATTTCTTATACAAGAATAACACCTAATTATTTTTATTACTATTATTGAAAAATTATAATAAAACCAAGCGCAAATCCGATTATATCGAGTCAAGTCCTCCGGTACGTCCTGACCATATTTTGAGATAGCCGCGCGTTATTACATTTGTATATATCGACACGATATTACTTTCGATACACTACTCTACATTTGGCGCACACTGCACACTGCACATAATATAGCTGTTCAAGGCCAGATAAAATAACTAATAATTATAATGGAATTTTTTTTTTACACAAAAATTTACAATATCGTACATGTTTGTGTACGGTTCGAAGACAACGCATCGAATTGTTATATTTATTATTTTAATGTCTGCAGTAAGAAATTATATCTGCGGTAGTGGTATTATTTTTTATCTTAAAATAATTAATACTAAGATACCTGCCTACACAAATGCGCCAGACAATTAAAATTATCGTTTAGTCGGTTAACTGCAGCGATATTATTCTGCTATTTGTATGATTTACTACATACCGACATAATATTATATTCGATGTGTACTGCATAATGTTATGCATACCTACTGAAATGTATAGGTAGTATTGCATATCACACAATTCAAATCAAAGTTTAATGGTAGATACTTACAATATTATTATTGATAACATTCAAATCACACGACACAAATATCGATATTTCCGCAAATTTAGATTTTTATAACGCCTATTGGTGTAACGAGTAAATAATAATATTATTGTAATATGACAATATTAAACCATACATTTTCGGTTCTCTTGACCTACATATTTTATATATGCGATGACGTTTAGCCCCTTTAATTGTTGTATGAAAAAAACATCGCATCAAGGTTTCCGGGTCAAAGTCTTAGCGACCGACCGTACGTATAGCTAGTATACTAGCATAATATATAATAATAATATTATAGAAAAACGATCGGATCAATATTCGCTTAAAATACAAATACGTTATTATATAACCGTTTAAGATTATAAATCGTCGGAAAAAAAAAACTCGTAGACTAAAATAATAACGCACAACAAGCTGGTAGTATTAGTAGTTGCAGGTGAAATTATAATATTTTTTTTTTTTTTAAATAACATTGAACAATATTTTTTATAGTATAATATCGAATTAAAGTGGGTTTTTTTTTTTTTTTTTAATAAGAAAAAAAACATTAACGTTCTACGAAACATTATAATATACATAACGCACGAAAACGCATCAGTTTTATAGAACACCAAGGTCCACGGACGGTTCAACGGATGGAGGAGGATGGAAAAGATATACCCTCCCCCACGACCTTTTCCACTATATTTATAAAAATACACACTATAATCTATTTATTTATACAAATAATAATAATGACGTAAATAATACATAATTTTAAAAAATCACCCTTATAACGATACCATATGACCGCCGAATGCCGATGCGCTTACAATAATTATGAAATGATTCAGAAAATCGAATAGTGTTGATTCGGTTGAATTCAGAAAATGATTCAGTTATCAAAAATTCGATTCGTGTGTCTGCAAATAATTTTAAAAAAACAGTTTAATTTTGTATTTTTGGTAATGGTATTTATTTAAGATTCCCAGCGTAGCGAGGGAGCTATTGGTTTTACAATGCTGTTAATTTCTTTTTCTTTTTTGTTCTAGTCTGTGAACACGTTTTTTCCTAGTAAACTTGCTCCGATTTTTACATGTAGCATTTTTTCTGAAAGCTCAAATTGTCTGAATTGTACTTTAAAGAAGTTTTTTTTGATTTTTGTCGCCATTTTTAAATAAAAGTACTTAAGTGGGAAAAATGTAGGAAAACCTACAATTTCCTAATTTTAATAATTTATAAAAACACGGAAGACGTTTTCTACCAGAAAAAAATGATTTGATCGAAAAATCACAGGATACCTCTTTAGTTGCCTTTTTGATTTAATTTTTTACGCTGGTAAAACTTACAAAATCATCGGACGACTTTTTTTTTTAATAAACATTTTGAAATCAAATTTAAACGATAATCACAGAAAAAAAATTACGGCATTTCAAATTATGTATTACCGAACTGCACTCGGAATCGTCTTTCGTCAGCAATGGTTTATTGTTAATTACAGATATAAATGAAATAACCTTATGCATCCTACCTTCCCAACTTCTCATCTATAACATTGGCCGCTCCCATCCTCAGTATCAGCTCATTTTATGCATATTTTGTATACATTATTAGAATTGTCAATGTAAAATGTGATAGATATAAGTAATTCTAAAAAATCTCAAAAAATATGGTTTTATAAGATATCTTCATCCGTATCAATATTTGTCAATCTATTATTTATAAAATTAATTTTTTATTTTCTTTCTTAGTTTCTCTTGGACAATGAATTGAAGCTCCATTTGGTTCGTGTAAGAGATAAAGTAAAACTTATTTTTTACATTTTTCGTTTGTTTTCCGTTTTTGGATAATTTTTTAAAGGCATTATTGAGGTCAAACATCATTTATGTCTATTATTTTAAGCATTTTTCTATTGTTTTTAATGCATTTGAATACGGGTCATATAGTTATAATAATGTATTTAATTTTTGTTTTAGCAAAAGGTTTTGTGCAGTGCAAAAAAAACGATCCAGAGTTAGCGGAATGTATGAAGAGTTCTCTGCACAGCGCCATTCCACATTTGATAAAAGGTAAAAATATATACCCATCTATAATACTATTATTTTGTCACCGCATGTTAAAATATTGAACGAACAATCAAGCGATTGCTTGATAACACGGAAAAATCGTATGTTAAACGTCAATAAAAATCGCTTTCACAATAATTATTACAATATACTTCAAATTATGACGTTCAAAAGTTGTCGTTCAAAAGTTGACTTGTTCGAAACGTAGATTTTTGCGGAATTATGTAGATTTGATTTGTTATGATATTTTTATTTTACTATATAGGTATACCGAGTCTTGGGATGTACTCAATCGATCCATTACGCATATCGACGTTACTTATAGACCAAGGTAACGGGCCCGTTAGCATCAAGCTCAATTTTAGAGATTTGGACATATTAAACATCGGAACGGTGAAAATTCAAAATCTCTAGTAAGCATAATATTATACTATTGATTGTACGTAAAATAATATAATATTGTCCGCGTGTTTGTTGTAGTGCCGATCTGAACAATTATAACATCACAGTGGACGTGGACTTTGACAAGCCGATTATTCTGGACGGAAATTACGATATTAAAGGGAAAGTAATCATTTTACCGATCACAGGTGACGGAAAAAGCAGAATCACTCTTGGTATGTTAACTATATTATAATAAACCGCTGAAATAATAACGTAACATTTTCTAACTTTGCTACATTATGCTATGCAGAAAATCTAAAAGCCAAAATAAACGTATACTTGAAACCTACTATGAAAAACGGTGTCACTTACGTGGATGTTGTCGATCTCAAATTGAAGTTTACTACCACCCGAATGCGTTTGAAGCTGGACAACTTGTTCAAGGGAGACAAAGCTCTAGGTGAGTAAAGGGTCTCAATAAAAAAAATAAATAATTTTTAAATGCTAAGTTATAAACTCATGTACACCTATTGTACTATAACTTTGTTAATTTTGATTTGAACAAAATCAGAGCATTTTTACTGACAACAAAAGTGTTTTTCGTTGAAAAGAAAAAAATAACACATTTTTATGTAACTAATATAGTCATTATATTTAAAAAATATAGATAAATAATAACATTGTATCGACCGAAATAAACTCATTTTTGTTAGAAAAATACTAAAATAAATCTTCGGACCTTGGCAGGATGAAAAAATGAGAGAATGGAGATTCTGAAAATAATAAAAAAAACACAACTAGTAAGATTTGAATGGTCATGTATTATAAAAGAAAAATTGTGTTGATTATGATTAAGAGAGAAGCGGATACAAAAGTCATAAACATCATATTTATAATTATTATTATAAGTAGAGTGCGAATTTTGAAGGCAATGATTTTTTTTTCTATTGCTCTAAAACGAAGCTATGTCAGCTACAAATTCGATTTATACTACTTAGAATAAAATGCACGACATTTTGTTTTGCTTTTTTGCGTTTTTTTTATATATTAATGCGTTTTTGGGGGGATATTTTAGGTAATTTTTTTGCTTTTAAGTTACATTTTTTTCAAAATACGTTCTAAATAAATGAATTTAAAATGTTAATATTTATTTTTATATTATGTAATATGTTCCAAGGTCAAGGATGGCTCAATCGATTTTATCTCGTTATGTTTGATTTATGGATATATTTATCGATGTAATTTAGATAATGAGATTAACGTACCTTATGGTATATAGTAGATTAATTTATCTTTAAACGACAATAAACACAAAAGTATGACCTATTTTTTTTAAAAAAAACTCATTTTTAAGGCTTTTTTTAAGCTTTTTGGGAAGATTTATACATATTTTTGCTTTTTTTCGTGCTTTTCTTTAGTTTTTTACTGTCTTAAAATTCGTACTCTAATTATTAGTGTATGTATATTAATAAATACAAACATGAACTTTTTTTTTCATTTAGTCATTTTTATAAATTATAAGTATATATTATTGTGATGACTTTATGAGCAACATAGACGATATAGCCACAGAGCTGGATTTAAAAAGAGGGAGCAAGGGGCCTAAACTCAGAGGCTCCCATAATTGAGGGGCCCCCACAAAATAAGAATTTTCATTATTTAGTATGAAGTTTCTTCAAAATTTAAATACTAGTATATTTTAATTTTAACTTTTTTTAATTTAAACATACCTCTATTTACTAGGGCCTCTATTTGATATAAGCTCTGGAATCTCCACATCCCTAAATCCGATCCTAGGTATTTAATAATATTATTACCTAATAATTTTTTTTTTTTTTTTATATTTATACAGGAAATAATATGAATACCTTCCTAAATGACAATTGGAGTGAAATATTAGGCGAATTGCAATCGAGTTTCGAAAATGCCTTGGCCGCCGCATTCACTAGTGTTACGCAACAATTCTTCAGTAAAGTACCTTATAACCAAGTGTTTGTATAGATTTAGTGTTTACCTTTTTTTATCAAAACGCACGCATTCAACTCATTAATTTATTTATATTATATATTGTTTTTTTTTTCATTTGTATTTCCTGACTATTGCTATTGTTATAATATTGTATATACTATATAAATATACATTTTTTTAAAAAAAATTATGTTCTGTTTTATTAAGTCTAATAATAATATACGTGAAAATTATTATAACGTTCGAATGAAAACGAAATAATACTAACTTAAATATCATAAAGGTTTTCCATAAATAAAATAACTATATTATAATATAATATTATCTAATTATAATAAATAACATCATCATTAAAAAGCATAGATCAATATTTTTCGAAAATCGAAACGTTCTGCATGTACTAAATGTTTACTACCCATTCGAAACAAATACCGCGTTAATTTTTTCCCTAATAGATAAATTAATAAATTAAAATCTGTTTTGAATTCTGAGAATATTAATATGGCGAATGTATTAGCTTTACTATAATGTTTCTTTTTTTCTACTTTTACTCTGTCATTTAGTTAAAAGTAATCGTAAAAATCTGACATTTTCGCCGAGGGTGATAGGCACTAGCGAATAGTTCAAATAGCTCGAATGGTATTTTTTATACGTGACTAAATAATATCCATAATTGATTATGGAATTATTCGGTAGGCTAACGAATAGTTCAGTCTTTACGTTATCTAATACTTTTGACCACGGTTTAAGAGGACGTGCTACCTAAAGCCATACACGTGCTACGATCAAAATATGGAGTTACACGTCGTGACGTTACAACAGCAGACAACTGAAAATACGCCCAATATCTTGCTGCCTATTACAGTAATAACACTAGATTGTGCCGTCATGAAAAAAGATTTTAAGAATATTTACCGGGCACTATCTCTACTATCCGTTTAATCATTCTATCTATATTATTCTAAGATTATGATCTACATGGCGTCTCAATGGAACCATAATTAAAATTTAGATAACGTTACCACTGTATTATCTATAGTCTCAAAAAGTCAACGCGCTGCTTATTTAATTAGCGGAATTGTATGATGTGAATTAATGCACTTATATATAGAGAATTCGAAACTCTTGCCTTGTGACACCAGAGTTCTAAAAATGTATTCGGACGAAATTTACACATATTTTAAGAAACCACAATATTTCAATAAGTACAGCTCACTTTATAACCAAAATTAATAGATTTTTTTTTTTTGTAATGAAGTATTCATTCGGCTTGGCAAACTTTGTCCTAAATGAAGAGGCACTATGATTATTTGTTTGAAAAAAGTCTGTTCAAGCCCCGACCTTGGGTCCAATTCTACTGCTCGTGTCGTTTCGTTTCGTGAGTTTTGAACACGACGCGTGACGCGTTCCTTTTTAGATGTCAGAAAAAATTGCCACCAGTATATCTTAATTCATAGTCTCGCCTAAATTATATAGATTATATATTTAATATGAAACAAAATTATTTAGAAGTTTGAGTAAATTACGAATATTGACGACGAGTATAAAGATATTATAATGAAAAAATCTACTATTATAGTCGTGTTGATAGCGTATACTATATTGCATTTAAGTGAAGAAAGTATAGATTGTGAGTTTAATTTGTATAACTTATTTATAATTTATAAGCATTAAAATTCAATATAATATTTAAAAAGAACCTTATATATTACATTTAATATCAAATTATCAAAATATTATAGGTATGTGAAATTAGAATTTTATTTGTTATTAGATACATTGTTCACATTTGCTTAGTTTATTTTAAATAATTTACCAAATTCGGTTTAATAACTTCATTAATTTTTAATATAATTTTTTTGTGTATTTGCGATAGTATCAAAATAACTGATATGATGTTGTCAGCTATAACCAGCACGGCCAAGAGTTAAATTTATTTAACTCCATTGCAGCCGCAATAATTTATTTATTTATTTATTTTAGCATAATTCAATTATAATACAATAATAATAATAAGAGCTGGTACATATACCAATTGAGCTAAGCTCGTACATATCGGGTATACAGAGTTCCTAGAACTATATTAATATAAATGAAATGTTTTGTACAGTTGAAAAGTTGACTTAATTTTATAGACATACAGCAGTAATGATTAAATTAAATTACCAATATTAATACCAAAGTTTCCTTAATTATTTCTATTTACACATATCACTTTTTATAATTTGATTGATAAATATATTTTCATCATGATCATTAACTAGGTATTTTATTGATTTTTTTTTTAGTTTCTATAAATTATGACATTGATTTTATAATTTTATAATTTAAGACCAAATCCCACATACATTTTTATTAGACCCTTTACATCATTTTCCAAATTGTTGAACATAGTCTTTACCATGTAATCAGAGGAACTTGAACTAATTAATTCTGTATAGTGTGATTATATGTACTTTACTGTTCTCCTATCCATTATTTCTATAATATCTCATCGAGTCTTTGTATGAATTCTATAAGAATTTGTTTTAGAATATGTTTGTTAAATAACTGGACTGATGGGTATACTGATGGAATGGAGTAAGCTATTTTTAATTATTTAGGTAGTATGTAAAATAGGTATATATGTATATTCTGTTCGTGCCTCCCCAACATGTTACACCATATAATTTAATTGAATTACATAATATCATGTAAACTTTTCTTATAACTATTTTATTTAGAAAACGAATTTTGTAAAATAGAGTATTTGAACTTCTCATTTTATTTTTAACATTCTGTTTTTGATCTGACCATTTCAGATCAATATCTATCGTTCATCGTAAATATTTAAATGGTAATACCATTTAAATTGGTTTATAGTTGCAACTGGTCCTATAAGTGTTACATTTGTGTATTATAAAGTTTATCTATCTGGAAGCTGTGATCGCCTTGTGAATATTGATATGCATACTGATTTACTTATTTTAAGTGATAACAGATTTTTTTTTTCCATCCAATCATAAATATTCCATAAATCACCTTCGATTTTTAATTTTTCTCAATTATCCTCGACATTAACTAGTGCTATATCATCAGCAAACATGAATAATCTACCTTTTAATACAGATGCTAGTATTGATTTAATATATATTAAGAATATATAATATAGTAATATATTCTTAAACACGATCAAAATGTTACTGACATGATAATATTAGCCAATCAGAACAGAGTATTTCACAGAAAACAAAACAATATTAAACATTTTGAACCCTCTAAATAACTTATTTAAAATTACTTAACCACAATAGTGGTTACATATAAAAAATCGTAATGTAATAGTTCGGTAGTCAACAACTATTGAACAGTTCAATACTGATGAATATTCGATATAGTGCCAATGGGTGATCATGCCACTACCACGTCTCGGTGGCTTTCCGATCTTAATTAGACGACCGTCTGATTTTGATCTTTCGATATAAAAATATCAATATAATAACTAATGGAAACCAGAAATAAACAATTTAGGCCTAATGATAAAGTGCCAACCACTCTTTCGGAGTTAAATTTCAGAACAAGTAAGCCTATATCCAATATTTGAACAACAAGTTACATTTAAGCCTGTTGAGCCGTTTTGGCATGATTAATTAACAAACAAACATTCTGCATTATTTAATATTCATAATATTAGTAGGGTATGATTTATTATAAATTTGTTTTTGAACGCTCGAGTAATTTTGGTATTGCAATACTTCTCATGGTAATAACTTTACGATATTTGGCTAAGGAATGAATCGGTAAAAAGTATTGAAATCGAAATAAAAGTCCTGAGAGATTGGACAGTAATATTATCGCAAACGTGCGTACAGCAGATATTTAATTTTTAAATGAGTTTTAACGGTGATGTACATAGTTGGAAAATAACAATACATAGATACTAGACAGGCAATATATTATACAACTTACACGTACATTTTAATAACTATACTGAAGATATACGATCGTAAACTTACTATAAGGACGACACACTAATATAACTATTACATAAATAAACATTATAATGTAGAAGGCCTTCAACTATATTTTTTCAGTTTGGATAGTTAAGTCCCCATAACCATACCATTTGTAATTTTCCACCGAAGTAATGAAACAATCCAAAAAGATTCAAAAATTCGTTTAACTTAAGCATTTTTTTTTTTTCATTATTTACGTGCAGTTTCTAAATCTCAAGGCCAAATGTATAGCAGTTTGTTGTATAATATAACTGAAATCAAAACCGTGACAATATAATTGTTTCGTATTGCCAAAAACAGAACAAATTATACATGCAAATAATTATTATAATCATACAAAATATAATATCGTTTGCGCTATTATCGTAATAATAATAATAATATATATTTAAATGATAGTTACCTACTAGGTACCTACTACAATTTGTCACTTTCACACACGATCTTATAACCTTTCGAGGCAAGGTTTATTGCAGCTTCATAATATTCATAATAATGTAATATTTGCTTAAAGTAAAGCACGCCTATTAACATTATAGAACTGTTGTACAATAATTAACCAACCTAGACGTTAGTTTAATGTATGTTATATACAAGGTGATAAATTTAAATGGGTACTCACGATATCTCGGAGAGTATTTACTTTTTTTAATTTTTTTGTTTTTTAAATTAAGAAACAAACTGCTCTAAAATTTATCATTCACATTATTTTTTAGGGGTGAAACGACTACCTACTTTTGATTTTCAAATAGCGGAAAAAATTCCGTAAATAGATGGAGTATTAGTTGAAATAAACTTAGGGGCTAAAATGTTTGATCTCCGTCAATCCTTTGACGAGATATTCCACTTTTAAGTGTTTTTTAGGGGTGAGTAGTGAAGCATCATTAGTATCGTGGTGCGGCGTGCGGCGTTCTAATAATATTCTAATAATAAAGTATATTCATTTACTAGGTTGAAATAATAGAAAATCGTAGATATTTAAAAAGAACGAATATACTTCACACGATAGATGGCCCGGGATGGGCTACTGTGATAGGTGAGAAGTTAGAAAGTTAGAAGAGAAATTTGCCGTATATCTATACGCAAAGAATAACCATCGCTAACGAAAAACGATTCTGAGTGAAGTTCAATACCAATACATGTTTTAAAAAATATTTGTGTTTATGATTTTCGTCGAGAGACGATATTAAAA